ACACACACACACACACACACACACACTCACTCCTTTTGTTTTTTATTGTTCGGTTGTTATTCAAAAACCTTGGATTGGCTTGTATATTTCTTTTCCTCCTTCCAATGTGGTGGAAACTGGAATGTAAAAATGATTGTATCTTGCCTTTCCAAATAAAAATTAATTTAAAAAGAAAGAACTGCTCGCTTCAACAAAAACAATCTGAGCTGGAACCAGGCGACGGGGAAGGTTGTGTCTGCTGTGGCTTCAACTTCAAGGTTCCAGTCAGAAATCTAACAACCTGGGTTCAAAACTAAACTATTAATGCTGATGGTGACCATGGTTCCATAGAGGAAGGTTCAAATCTGGTTCCACAACCAGGTCATTGTTGACCCCCAAATTTGTTGATCAGTGAGTAAAATAAAAAACAGAAGCATTTGGTATCTTGTAAAAAGTTGTAAAACCTGTAGACCTTTTTTCCATCTTACATGCCCTTAGTCTTAGTTTGATGGTTCATGAGATGCCTTTTACTGAAGTTTAGTTAACAATCAGTTATTTTGTCCTTTTAAGCGTCAGCCTTGGGTGACGTGCTGTGGAAATGCAGGAAAATAGATGCTTTAAACAGCTGAAAAGTTATACTTGATTGTCTAAAAAGGCTGTTCATATTAATAAAACATAATTAAGCATGACTGTGAGCGATACTTTCTGCTTCTCCTTTAGATTTAGTCTCATAGACGGACGATTGTTTGTAGCTGCACAGCCCGCAGTATAAATTCCCACCCTGCTGCCGTCGTGTTTTATTTCCAGCGTGTCCAGCAATGATTGATCACACCAGTCAGCGAGTGAAACGATGACGGATAGCATTACCAGGAAGGCACACTGGGGGTCGAAGGCGTAGGTGCCACACACATAGAGCCGGCCATCGTCGAGGAATTCCAGCAGACGGATGTAGTTTCTGCAATCCTCCTGCAGGGGGAGACAAAGTTACAGAAATGAAGTTTTATGTGAAATAAGGAAGTAAAGTATCACTAATATGTTTTGGTGTAATATTTTTTATTATTATTAATGATTGAAAGACCATTTGTGATAAAGTAGAGCTTAGTTCAAAGTTAAAAACTAAACAGAAGAGTAACCCACCTGTTCTCTTTGGGTTGTCCAGTTTTACCAGATTTTTTTTGTGGAAATTTTCTTCCATTTATTGTAGATTTGAGGCATTTTATTGTGTTTATTTCCTGGTTTTATTTTTCCTGTGTTGTTTAATTGAATTTGGTTTGCACGAGCTGTGTTTAAATGTTGATTCTGCCCAGCACTGTGGTCTGCTGTGGTGCATGAAGTGCTTCAAATAAATTTGGATTGGATGAGCAACATTACGGTGAAAGGAACAGAATGATGTGGTTTATTGGTGATTCTGAGTGGAAATGGGACCCCCCCCCACAGCTTTAGGTGACACCTGAGATCCCCACAGTTAACCAACAAAGCCCTCACTCACTCATTATTCATTTAACATAAAAGCTGAGGATTTTTTTTCCCCACAGACGACACAAAACAACTCATTTCTTTGTTTGTAGGTGTTTTATTCTTTCAATACCTGCTGTTTTTCCCCCTCTTTTCACTGTCGACTGTGGAAACAAACCCCCCACAGTCCCAACCAGCCTACCATGAAACCGTGACGCAGGTAATTTATCTTTAACCGTGTGTGCGTGTAGGTGTGTGTGTCTGGTACCCTGGATGAGCTCCTGGCCTGAGTTACTGCCTCCCCATAGAACTGATCCTCTCTCATGCCCAGATCATGTCACCAGAATCAGCCCCCCCTCCCCACCACCTGTCCTTAAACCCCACCCACCAGCACCAGTCGGCACTGCCACGCCGACACAGCTTTGTTTGAGGCGCAGAACGAGCGTCAGCCGCTAACAAAGGGATCAGCTCAGGATTAGACTTTTCACTCGCGAAAATTAAAGTAATTCTTGTAACTAGAATTGACTCACAATATTGTCACAGTAGAGGGGGGGGGGCTAACAGGTTTAATTATTTTTCATTTAAACAAATTCTGTATTAACCTTTATTTAAAATGCTTTCCTCCCACAAAAATTTCTAAAATCTTTTCATGATTAGAAACATATATATATATATATATATATATATATATCCATCCATCCATCCATTTTCTGTACACGCTTCTTCCTTTTCAGGGTTGCGTGGGTCACTGGTGCCCATATCCAGCAGTCACAGTGCGAGGGGCAGGGTACACCCTGGACAGGTCGCAAGTCCATCACAGGGACACACATAGAGACAAACGAGACAAACAACCATTCACTCTCTCACTCACACCTAGGGACAATTTAGAGTTATCAATTAACCTAACAGTCATGTTTTTGGTCTGTGGGAGGAAGCCGGAGTACCCGGAGAGAACCCACGCATGCACGGAGAGAACATGCAAACTCTACCCAGAAAGGTCCCCGGACTCCAACGCTATATTGCCTTATGTGTGTTAGCTCAGTGCTAGTGCGACAAACAAGCTAAACTGAGGTCCTCCATCCATATTTTCAGTTGCAGACTGAGTCATTTTTGTGTTTCCCTCTCTGTCATGTGGATGGAGGACCTCAGTGACGAGAGGAGAATGTGTAGCGCTGAGCTAATACATATATATGGTGATAGCATCTGGGCTAACACTAAAGCTAACAGGCTAAGCTGAGGTTCTTCTTCCATGAAGCAGCTCTGTTGTCCTCCATCCATATTTTCAGTTCCAGGCTGAGTCATTTCTACCTTCTCCTCTCTGTCAACGCTCTCTGGTTTCATTTAAAAGAGTCGATCATCAGATATTGTCCAAGATTAACCTTCAGGGTGGATATAGGTCGCTAGCAGCCTCGCACCGATGACCTAGTTGATGTCATCATTTACCCAGAATGCTTTGTGTGTAAATAAAATGGCCCCGCCGTGTAATATATTTTTTAACTTTTTGTTTAAAAATTATAAAAACTGAACATCTTACAGTATTTTTACAGTCTTTATTTTACAGTTAAAGTATATATTTATCATATAAAGTCTAATGTTACAACTAATCGGGGATCCCTTTAATAAATATATTATTTTCAGTGTTCCTCTTATGTTCTCTGTAACATCATGTATCAATAAGAGGGAGTCATGTTAAACAAAAAAAAAACTTTTTAGAGATTTTCATCCAAATTTATTCCAAATACTTTCAGTTTAATAACTATAATCAGTATAAAAAGAACCAGTTTAGTTTGATGACATTTACACAGTTCAGCTCAGAACTGACTAAATAAGAACAATTATAATCTTTTCTGTGCTTCTTGTTGTTTCTGGGATCTTCCAGAGCTGCAGGAGGATTACAGCCAAACAACAGAACAGTAAATAATATGAGTCACCGGAACTCGAGCTGAATGCAGGTTTTAACCTGCGTAGTTGATTTGTCTCCTAGCTGCTATTATTTCAGACCATATGTGTAATTCACTGGTATTTATATCGTGGCTGAATTACACAGAAGGAGTTTTTGTGGGACAAAGAGTCTCACCTCTGTCTTTCCCTTCGCCAGACAAGAATTCCTTTTCTCCTCCGGCACATCCCAGATAATCTGAAGGAAAGGTAAAGACGTAAGTCCATATATTATAAGATATTATATAAGATATACAGTATAAGTCCATAATCAGTGTAAGCCTTTTAATTAAAGGTTCTTTCATCCTGAAACAAAAATCTGATCACACTTCTGATTGTGTTTAAGCTGATGTTTCTGCAGAAACACTAACAAGTTCACAAACTATAACAGAACAACGCACACGCCCACATATCTGTCACCTCTTTAGGTTGCTGCTCCAGGTTTTTGGTGTCTACAGCTAGTATGGCATCCCTGGCGCCGAGGAACAGCACCCCCGATGATCGGTCCAGCTGGAAGGTGCTGAAGTTGGTCACGTGGTTAAATCTCTCCGAACCCAGGATGGTGTCTGAAAATCAAATAAAAGGAGATAAGAGATGTAATGAGTTTTTAAAAAATAAATTGATTCTGATGATAATCAGTGGATTTAAATACAGACTGAACTGAATCAGTAATCACACAGACAAGAGATTTAGGATAAAAAAGGGAAGATGAGGGCGAACACTCTGACCTCTAACCAGAACCTTAGAAAACTCATAAAATCACTAAATATATTGTATTTTCCTCTCTGTGCTGTTGGATCCACATCAGCTCTGTTTGTTTTCGAACATCCCCCCCTGGATTGTTTGCATCTATTTTATATAATGTGCCCTTATTCAAAATGAAATCCCACTCCTGTGGGAGAAATAAAACAAGCTAAACAATGCGCCGTAAACAACAGGCTCGTCTTTACAAAACAAGCAGGGTGTAATATCGCCTGCACTCCTCTCAGACTCCGAAAACTATCGCATGAATCAAATCCCTGAAGCTTCAGGATGGAGTTCTTATTTGCTCTCCTCTCCCTCCTACTCTACATCCTCTTTACAACAAAGCATTGTGTGTGTGTATTTTGTGTGTTCATGCCCCAACAGCTGAGAGGAAAAATAACCCAGCTGTTTGCTCAACATCTTATGAAGCATCTGTTATGTGTGGAAATAAAAAAAAATGTTAAGCAGCTTTTAATTTTTTTAAGAACTAAATTCTGACCATCTTTAGGCACTCATGAAGAAGACCAGACGTGCTCCACGACATTTACAAAAGCTCTTATTTCCAAAGAAGCTGAAGCAAGTCGTCCGACACACGCAAACAAACCAACCACAGATTGGACAGATTAGACCGGATTAAATACTAATGCTAATCAGTTGAGCATGAGGCGGTAATTTAACCTCAAACAGATATCACACACATAACTCACCGCTCAATTATTTAATGAATCATGACTAACATATCAAACAACGCAGGCTGCTGTAATTGAGCCTGTGTGTTTTTGGCTCGTTTAAAGGTGAATTTAAAAAAGCTGCAAACATTTAGACACAAAGAGTTCTATTTAAAAAAATAACATTAATTTGATTGTCAAAAGAAGATTTACAACTTAATGTATTCCTCAAAATTATGTGAGAAAAGAAAATTCCTGGAAGCTCACAAAGATGATTTAATTTAAGTGCTATCAGCTAAAAGCAGCACAATCATCCTTTGTTGTTTTTTATATTTATTTTTAACAGCCACATCAGGGTATTTCTGATCAGCAGCACTCAGCGTTGACATGGTTTTCCACTTAAGACACCATCTGTCTGTCGGTCCACACTGAAAAGAAAAAAAAAAGACCCCAACACAGCGACATCTGTCTGAAAAGCTCCATCACAGACTTTTTTCTCTCGTCTCGCCTCCATCCAGAGCCCATCATCCAGTTAGTCCGTGTCTGTTTCCCGTAACATTTCACATGAATGTCATTCCTCGTTCACTGAGGAGCCATCTGTTCAGCTAAAGACCTCCAGGCTGTCAAACCACAAGAGTGCCTCTTATTTGCCCGCAGAGGACTGCACTTCCTGGAAATCAGCCACTAGGATGGAGACGTGTAACGCCACAATAAAATGTCTGATTACAAGTTTTAGGAGTGTGCTGCTATTCATCCACTTTTACATCCCGGGCTGCTGAAGGAAACACGTTTTTGTTTCAACCTGTCCATAAAAACTAAACTCACATAAATGATGATAAAAGTTCATGAGATTTCTTTGTCCTCTTCTTGTTTTACTCATTTGCCCATTGGTAAATCAATTTTTGTTTACCATTCCATTAGGGTATGCATATATATA